TCAGCCAGTGAGTGCACAGTGTGGTCTGTACCACGCTCAGCCAGTGAGTGCACCGGCCATCCCTATATAGGAGCCGAACCCGCGGCCTCGGCACGCTACCAGTGCCACACTCTCCCGAGTGAGCCACAAGGCCGGCCCCTTACATAGCTTTATAATTAAGGCAAATGTACTTTCAGCACGGCTCGTAGCATCAACATGGTTTCAGGATCAAACAAAATGTCCCTTCCTCTCTAAAATAAATATTTTCCCTCCTATTTGTAAAAAACCTAAAATCTCTTCGACAAAAATTAGAGTCGAAAAGCTTAAAAAACAAGTATAATTAGGATGTTTACAAGGTAATAAAGATGCATTTCAGACGTTTCACTTATATAGAATGTTTTGATAGAGGAAGTAAGTACAAATAGTGGCTACCTGAAGGAAAGGAAGAGCTCCTAATGTGAGGTAGAAAGGAAAAGAAGCAAAAGAGTATAGACACTAAGCTTGAGAACTTCAGTTTTGATGGAGTCTAACCATGCCTCCCATGCCTATGAGATAAATTTCCAATTCCTTCACATTGCAAGACCCTCTTTCATCAGGCTCCCAAATATCCTTCCACTCTCATCTCCTGCCAGATCTCTCCATGTATCTACACATAAAACTACAAGAGCACATGCTCACAAATCTCAGAAGAGCTGAGTCCTTTCATTCCCTGCCCCACACATTTCATATAAACTCTTCTTGTCCTTTAAGGCCCAGTTCAACCAGTTCAAATAGGTTTTTCTTTTCTCCCTTAGTCTATTCCAAATTGGTCACTTGCTTTCCCTTTAACTCCCAAAGCATACAATTCATAATTTATTGTCCTTCCAGTTGCACAGACCAAAAACTGTGAGAGCTTTCTTGACTACTCTCCTTCATTCATACTCCACAACAATCCATCAGCAAATCCTGTTGACCCAACATTTAAAATAAGTCCAAAATATGACCATTTCCCATAATCTCCACTGCTATCCTTTTGGTACAAGTCACCACCATCTCTCACCTGGATTACTGTAATAGCAAATCTAGTCTCCCTGTATCTTTGCACCCTCAACAGTCTATGTGCCACTAAAAAGCCAGATTGTTCCTTTTAATTTTAAATAGGATCATGTTATTCCCTTGCTCAAAACCTTCCAAAGCCTTGCCCATCTCACTCAGAAAGTCAGAATTCTTACAATGGGCTAGAAATAGCCTATACAATCTGTGATGGACCCTCCAGTCCAAATTATCTTTCAAACCTATACCCTACAACTCCTCCTCTTGCTTATATGCCACTTCAGTGCCTTTACATTTTTTTCTTCACCTGTTCTTTTTCTCAATTCTTTCACATAGCTTACTCACTCACCTCTTTTAGATCTCTCCTCCAATGTCATTTTCTCAGTGAATCCTTTCCTGACCACCTACCCAATACTTCAACACCCTCAACCCTCTTCTCTACATTTTTTCCCATCATCTTCCATACTATTTGTATTATTGTTTATTGTCTGTCTTTCCCTGCAAAGATGCAAACTCCACATAAGTAGGATTTTTTGTTGTTACAGTTTTGGTCACCACTGAATCACCAGAACCTAGCACAGTGTCTGTCCCTCTAAAAGAAATACGTCCCCTCCTATTTCTAATACCTAAAATTTGGGGCTGGCCGGTTAGCTCAGTTGGGAGAGTGTGGTACTGGTAACACCAAGGTCACAGGTTTGGATCCCCATACCAGCCAGCCACCAAAACAAAACAAAACACACACACACAAAAAAAAATATCTAAAATTTCTTCAACAAAAATTAGAGTTAAAAACCTTAAAAACAACTATAACTGGGACATTTATAAGGTAATATAGATGCATCTCAAATTTGTTTCACTCAAATAGATATGTGCTCAGTAAATACTTACAGAACAAATGAATAAATTTCTACCTATCCAAATACTAAACAGATTATAAGCTATTTAAAGGCAGGCCTAAAGCCTCTTTAATCTCTCTAATCTCTCCCATCTCTCAAGTACAAAGAACAGTATTTGGTAGATAATATGTACTCAATATATATGTTGAATTAGCCAAGCATTTACCTACATCCTAGGATAGGAAAATAGAATATATAAAGAAAGATATTAGAGGAAAACAGTGATAAAAAGGTGCCTCATATTTGTTCCCATATTAACCGAAAAACTTCTTATTACCGTTCCTTCTTTTAAAGTAAACAATACCAGCCAGCCACCAAAAACTAAAAAATTTTTAAAAAAATTTTAAAAATGACTGTTTTAGATATACTTCACTGTAAGGTGAAATACAACATGAGAAATTAATTATCATCAAAAGGAGAAAAAACAGAGCAAACTATAAAGGTATGTAATGGCCTGACAAATCTCATTTACAGGTACAAAAGTAGTAATTTCACAATGAGATTGGCCTATTCTAGGGATGTTTCCCAAATTCTATTCTTATAAGTAGTGATAAGTTCAGTACTGCCTAATGTGTACGAAGATGAAAGGCTAATTGTTCTAACAAGTGCCAATGCTGCAGTTTCATCAAACAAAATCTTTGGTGAATGGTGAAAACCTTTGATCCAACCACTTCCGCAGGGCAAAGGATCTCTGGCAAGTTTCAGTTATTGGAAAAATCTTGAAATCTATACGCAATTTATATGACTGATTGGATGTGACCACAAAGGGACTTGAATGCCAAAATAAAGACTTGATTCCACAGGAAATAAAGAACCATTAAGAGATTTTACTGCGGAGGGTAGGGGAAGTGGGGGGGGGCGGGTAGGGGTTCTGTTGGTCTATGTAAAAACCCATGAGTTAATTACACCTTCAAAAAAATCTAATGGCACTGCAAAAGGATGTACAGGAGTGAAAAGAACTAGAGACTACTGTGACAGTCCAACTCTAAGATAAAAATTTGGACTACAGCACTTACAGTAAGATAAGAAGGAGCAGACTAACAAGCATTGCAAAAGGATTTTAAAAACTGCATATAAGAGTGAGGGAAAGGAAAGAATTTAATATAAAGCAGAGAGTGAACAGGAAGGAAGATTTTCCTTAATTTGTTATTGGAAAGGGTTGAGCTTAGATGTGTTCGGTTTGAGGTGTCTAAATGTACTCAAGCAGGTATGTCCAACAAGAGTGTGAAATTAAACCTTAGAAAGAAGTGTCCCCAGAGCTGTAGATCTTGGAGTTAGTGGTGCAAGATGGCTGAAGATGAAAGAGTAAGGGAGAGGCTGAATACAGAATCCGGAGAACACCAAAATCAGAAGGGGAGTCAGAAGTAAAAACAGAAAAGGAGAATAAAGGAATGTGAAGATGATAGGGAAAATTTATTACAAATGCTGTAACTTAACAGAAATATTAAAGATGAAATTCAAAATGAGACTTAAGTTTGATATTTGATTTAGAATTAAATACTAAGGAGAAATTTTAGAACACTTTTTTGACTTGATTTCATGTTTACAGAAATAGTCATCGCTCAGTATCTGCAAGGGATTGATTCCAGGCTTGAGCATTCCCCATGGCTACTCAAGACCATGGATGCAGAACCCAGGGATTTGGAGGGCTGACTGTACTTATTGTTATTTTTACTTATTATTTTCTTCTGAGGAAAAATTTGTGGGCTCCCAGAGTAAGACTTCTCCAATATCCCACTAGTAACAAGCTTCTGAGTTGGTGTCTCATAGTCTCCCTTCATTTACCTTCAGCAAACTTAGTTGAAGTAAGGTAGAAAAACAGGTGGAAGGTGGCAAGGGAATGGATACCTGACACCCCACTGCCTTCATGCATTAATAGTCAGAAATGACACTGATGAGCCAGAAGGCAACAAGAGAAAGTAAAGATAAATTTGTGGAGAGAAGGAAGATTTCTGCTTTGGCTTTTGATTGCAGTCTTCACATATCCCTTCACTTTAATATTTATGAAAATGGTAAAAATGAGTTTGAAAAATTTGAACAGTTTTCTGGTCACATGAAAACTTTTTAGAACTAAGGAATCATAATCCATTTAATCCTATTCCTTAAAACAACTATCTCTTTATCTATAGCACAATGTAATAATAGACTTCCATCTATTCTCCTACATGGCCAAAAAAAGATTAAGCTATGTTTGGCATGTTCTGTTTAAAGTGGCAATGAAATATGATTTTCCTGAAGATGGTAGATTTTAGCACCTAACAAACTGAATTTTGGGTATCTGGGAAATATTTCAAGTATTTGACTAATCTTCCAGAACACCTCATTAGCTAGCAATACTAGAGAAAACTGGCATTAAGTCTTAGCATTTTTGCCAAAAGATCTTGCAAACCTCAAATTTTAAAAATGAAGTACTTTGTTATAATAGTTCTCTGAAAAATAAGTATTCTAGTAACTTACTTACCCATCTTACCAAGCCAGAAACCTGGACGTCATCCTAGAGCCTCCCTTTCTCCAATTAATCATTCACCAGTTAAACAGCTCTCAAAAATGTTCCTTTGCTACCATTATCTCTTGCCTAAGTATTAAGCCATTAACTAAACCGACATGCCTCAAATTATAATGATCAGATTTGGGGCTGATGTTTAGATATTTAACATGTAGCAATGTACTCTGCCCTTGCAGTACTGAAAGGCTGCAAAGACAGCGTGTCAATGTAAATCAAAGAAGCACTCCTTTCAATAAGCATTTGCCTCTTCACCATGTCATTCTATCACCTGACCTAGGAAGATGTACCTTCAGTTATCCCCAAATGGTTCTTCCATAATCCAGAGGCCTGCTTAGATTTCTATCCCCTTTTCTGTTAACTTAAGAAACCATCCTACGTTTTTGAAAGCACAAAGGCAGCAAAGCCCTGATCCCAATAAACTGCTGGTAAGATCTTGTTTCTATTACAAATAAGATAATGAAAGAACAAATCATCCCCATATTTATAATGAATTTATTTTATACATTTTTACTGAGTCAAAAGTCACTAATTTAGCACTTTGCTAAAATCTAAATATACAATAAAAAATTTAAAAGCAAGGCAATTACCTGAGGAGAGTCAAAAGGATATCGACTACTAAACTTAAATAGAAGTTGAAATTTTTCCCCTTCATATAAGGTACCTGGTGCACCTTCCATGTCTACAATCCACCTAAAATAGAAAAAACAAATAAAAACTTAAGATAAAAGGGACTGTGGGTGAGAAAAGGGAACACTGAGTACTTCCTCTATGCCAGTCATTGGGACAGGAGTCATTTATGTGTAATAGCATACTTCTTCCTCCCAACAACTCTCAGAGTGGGTATTAACATCCCCTGCCCCGGCCCCTTCTCTGACATTCAGGGATTAAATAACTAGATCAAGGTCAGACAGCTAGCAAAGGACAGAGCCATATTTTAACCCAGGTATAAAAAACTAACAAAATAAAAACCAAACTCAGATGTGCTGACACCAAAACCTGTGCTCTTCCTTTTTGATTTATGCTATCCTATTTTTTCAAAAGACATTTTACAGTGACTGAAAAACATTATATAAAAATATCAAACTAATCAACTGCTTTTCTGATATCAATGTTAGAAGCAATAAGGGAAGATATTGATAATGACTACAAAGGATTGTCACTTCAAACCGATTTCCTCATCAATATTCTGGAGAAGACTAATAAATGAGAAAAGAAGCTAAGTTGACATCAGTCTACTTAATCTGATGGCTAAGCAAGGCTCTATATTGCATTTTCTTTATCTCTCACTATGTTTCAATTGTTTAAGCCCAGAATATATTTCTATGGCATCTATGCAAGCTTACTTTGTTTTCATATATAACAATCATGAATATAAATCTGTTTTTATTTATATTCTGTATACTATCCCATTATTCTCTTTAAAAGGGGACGGAGAGGAATAGAGAATAATGATTGCAAAGATGGGGCAGCATTTAGAAGCAAAAGTGAAGTGAAATTAAGAATGAGTTCCTAATTACAGCTCGGTCACTTATGATTATCATACACCTGGCCAATTCCTTTAATCTTATACTTTTGAGGTATAAAACTTAATTATTTTAAATACAGGAAAACAAAAGGAAGAGAGAGAGAACAGTTGGGGTTCAAGTCATCACCCCACATACTATGGACTTAGAAGTATGTAAAACAGTAAATGTGCCTATTCTCTGAAATAAATCTGCTAAAGCATACAGACAGTAAGAGCATGCTATTCATTTTCAGAATCCATGCTGAAAACCATACATGGTAATAAAAGATATTACCACAGACCTGACAGGCAATATTTTATAGTAAAATTAGACAGGTCTGCCATTTAACTAGCTGTGTGAGCAAGCTGCTTTACTTCTCCAGTTTTAACTACTTCGATTGTAAAATAGAGATATTCACCTCACAGTGTTTGATGGAAAGATAAATGACACTACATACGCAAAAAACCTAGCACTCCCGACATCAGAACCAGTAGATTTAATACAATGCAAAAGCTGCATACAAAACAAAAAAACGCCTATACTCTAAACTAGGTCCTCCTGAGCCTTCAAAATTCCTTGCAATCTTTCTCTCCACATCAACTAAGCAGAGTGATATTCCAAGAAAAATTTAGAAGACTTTCTGGTGCTCTTTTATTCTGTTTAAATGGCAATTTTTACGATACACAACATACCACATCACCTATACAAGCACAGCTTTTAAATAATAGCTAAGCAAGTATCTCATTAATCCTTGTATATCGGTACAAGATAGGTCAAACAAAGCATAATTTTCAACATCGTGCATGGTAATGGTTAATAAGTTTTTACTAATTAAAAAGTAACATGTTCACTGTAGAAGATTTAATTGTATTATGTGCACACTTAAATTACATAAATTCAAACTGTCAGTATTTATGATTCCAATCATGAGCATATGCCCCAGAGAAGTGAATATGCTGTTCTCTCAGTCTCAGTTCTTACACTCCTATGAGTTTAATGTTTAAACATTAAAATCTTGAATTTTTTTTCACATATCATGGCTCCTAATCAAAGAAACAACTATCTATTCTGCTCTGGAGGGAAAACTGGCTTTGGTGGATTTAAGACAGGATATATATACTAATACGACCTTTCTAAGAAACTTTTAAAGGTAATTATGATGATACGAAATACATATTTTTGCCTTACACGCTGACTACAGACTACAACTCAAGTGATGCCACTTTACTGCATTACCTTGACAAACCCTTTCCCTATTATTGACATTTACATTGTTTCCAAATTATCCCCAGAATTAGTAATGTTGAAATGAGTACAGATAAGTCCATCTTTTTGTATGTCTCTGTCCTTTCCTTTGGACAGTGTACAGGTGTATTTACTACATCAAACGGAATGGTATTCAAATATTTTAAGATGTCAATATGTGCTACCAAACTGTGTTCCAGAAAGCTGCTTACTGTGCTTTCATCACCTTCCTTAGGTATCTTCCATACACATATCCACATTTCATATAAACCTATTTAGGCAATGATTTTTAAGATCTGATTCTTTTTTTTTTTTTTTTTTTTTTTTTCCTTTTTGAGACCGGCCGCGCCGCGCTCAGTCAGTGAGTGCACCGCTCATCCCTATATAGGATCCGAACCTGCGGCGGGAGGGCTGCTGCGCTCCCAGCACTGCACTCTCCCGAGTGCGCCACGGGCTCGGCCCAAGATCTGATTCTTTTTTTTTTTTTTTCCTTTTTGAGACCGGCCGCGCCGCGCTCAGTCAGTGAGTGCACCGCTCATCCCTATATAGGATCCGAACCTGCGGCGGGAGGGCTGCTGCGCTCCCAGCACTGCACTCTCCCGAGTGCGCCACGGGCTCGGCCCAAGATCTGATTCTTTTTTTTTTTTTTTCCTTTTTGAGACCGGCCGCGCCGCGCTCAGTCAGTGAGTGCACCGCTCATCCCTATATAGGATCCGAACCTGCGGCGGGAGGGCTGCTGCGCTCCCAGCACTGCACTCTCCCGAGTGCGCCACGGGCTCGGCCCAAGATCTGATTCTTTATCATACTATTTTTATCTTGGAAGAAGGTCCAAAGACAATAAAATTTTTATGGTTCATTTACAATAAATTATTTTAAAAGAAAAAGTCTTGCCTGACCGATATCTCTAAATTACAAGATTTATTCTGTAACAAAGATGTTGGTGCTTTGACAGTTATAATCTCTGGTATAACAACTTAATGCTTCTATTTGTAAAAATTTTAAACATTCCTTTAACTTTTTATAAATCATTGTGTTGTGTGGTTTCCCCACTCTCCCAAAAAAGTCAAGGTTGAAAGAGGATGCAATCTGATTATTATCAATTTCCTTGAGAACCATAGGGCTACCTGTTACAGGATATTCTGAGGTAGATTAACAAAGGAAGAGAGGAAAAAGATAAAAATGGGATATAATCTGCACCAGGGTGAAAAACAGTTAGTTCCATTTTGGGTTGTTTTAGAACAGTAGTTTCAAGTGAAAAATCAGTTGAGAACTCAGCAATGTTTTAAAGAGATTGCTACAGCACTAAAGATTTATATGACATTTTAAAGATAGTCAATACATCCATTCAATATTTTTAAAGCTTTGACTCCTGCTTAGGTACTAACTCATAAGTCAAAGGTAAGCAAAATTGTTTCTTCTGAAAAGATAGGTACTTCCCCTGTTATTTAAATTTTGGTAACTTTTAGTCCCTGGACCTAGAATACAGCTTAATATTTGAATTGGCCCATTTGTCCTCCAAGTTGGTCTATAGTAAACTTTATCTTACTGCTCTTTTCCTTTTATGTTTTTGAAGATTTTTTAAAGTAGAGGATTAATTATTTTAAATTCCCCTGCAATTTCAGAACATTTACCATTGTCTACAAAATTATTAAATCAAAGGACTGGTAAGGATCAACAATACTGGTTGCTGAGATCTTAGGATGATACTCTTGAAAATATTTCAAACAAATTCAAATGCTCATTTTTAAGAGAGGGTCCTCTTTTCTCTATTCTTGATATCATATCTGGAAAGGATCACCTTCTGCACTCCAAGGAAGATGCTGAATTAGAGAGAATACTTTTGTGTTCTTCTCCTTCCAACCCTTACTTTTTTCCTCCCCATAGAAAAGTTTCTCATATATTTAATGAGATTGCTGAGATCTGCACTTTCATTAGTTACCCCTCTGTACAGCATGCAGTTAATGTGTCCAGGGGATGGGAATGGGACACCTCTTGACTGTAACTCTCTTCAAATCCCTAATTTTTTTTTTAAAAAATATGATAACCTCATACCAAGCTGCTCTATTACACAAGGATCATTTCATAAACAAAGTCAGACACAAGTTTTTAAATGCTGTCTGCTAACGAGAAACTTTAAAAAACTTACTAACCAAAGATATAGTTGTATTAAAAAAAATGCTTAGGGCCGGCCCGATGGCGCACTGGAGAGTGCACCGCTTGGGAGCGTGGCGGCGCTCCCGCTGAGGGTTCGGATCCCATGTGGAGACCGGTTCCCGCTCACTGGCTGAGCGCGGTGCGGGCGCAACACTGAGGGTTGCGATCCCGTTGCTGGTCCCCGGTACGGGCGCGACACCGAGGGTTGCGATCCCGTTACCGGTCAGTAAAAAAGACAAAAAGGAAAAAAAAATGCTTAACATATTATGCAACAATGTATATCATACAATGATGCAAAACAAAATTGATCATGTATATAAATGCATAGAATAAGATCTGTTTACTATATATTTACCTCTTGATGTAAGAGAATGGAATGAAATATGAAAATAATTCTGTATTTTTAAAAAGTGCATACCAGGGCTGGCCAGTTAGTTCAGTTGGTTAGAGCATAGTATTGTAACACCAAGGTCAGGGGTTTGGATCCCCGAACTGGCCAAATGCCGAGGAAAAAAAAAAAAAGTGAGCACTAAAGTTGGGGACTTATGATAGTTCAACTCATAATTTTCTGACTTTATGATGGCACCAAAGCAATACGCATTCAGTATAAACCACATTTCAAGTATCCCTACAACCATTCTGTTTTGTGCTTTCAGTACAGTATTCAATGAATTACATGAGATATGTAGCACACTTTATTATAAAATAGGCTTTGTGTTAGATGATTTTGCCCAACTGTAGGCTAATGTACGTACACAGAGCACGTTTAAGGTAGGCTAGGCTGGGCTATGATGTTCGGTAGGTGAAGTGCATTATGCGCATTTTTGACTTACTGTATCTTCAATTTACCACAGGTGTATCAGGACATAACCCCATCATAAGTGGAGGAGAAGCTGTATATATTCATATATTACATTGATAATAAAAAAAAAGAAAAAAGTAATTAAACACTTACTGTGTAATTGAATTTTGAACACTCTTTTCATTTAAAGTCATCCCAGGAGGTGGGTCATTTTGCAAAGCCAACAGTTCTTTTTGTAGTCGTTTCTAGAAAAGAACATCAATAATAATTTGTAATTTATTTATTTTTACAACATAATATCCTTCTAGTTATAAAGTCTGAAATCACTGATTAAATTTCCTCTAAATACTCATATCTTTTCCTTTACAAGCCCCTTATATCTTCTACATATTTATTATATGCCTAATTTTCAAAATGTTTCAACATTGATGCTGTAAAGTGGTGAGGAAGAACAGCCAGTAAGCTATAAAACATCAACCTCTTTAAGACTTCATAGCTATGCTACTGAGGTTATAAGGTATTACAATCCTAGGTTAAAACTGCTTCAAGGTTTTAGCGGTGCTTCCTTTGCTGCTTCCCAATGATAAAAACCATAGCTCTCCATTATCCTTAAAGAATGTGTTTTCAAACAGGCAAGCTTTCCAGAGAAACTATAAGCATACCACCTTATACAAAATACCCTGTGAAAAATTTTAAAATAATTTAAATTTACAACCTACTGCCCGTATTTGTTTTCTTAAACAGGATCATCTGCACATAATTTAATCTTTCAGGGTTATTGTTATGAACATCATCTACCGTATGACATCAGAATACAACATATCAGGGCCTGAGATATGTAAGGGTTTTTTCTGCATACTAGATGCCCTTAAATAGGTATGTATCTTGCATTCCATTTTTCTTTTTGTATTTGGAGTTCTTATTTGTATGGCTTCATTGTTTACCTCTTACCCTGTTATCATCAGTGGACATTCTTTTTTAATGCACAACAAAGCCAAAACAAAAACCACAGCAGCCCCTAATTTATGGGTTTGAAAACCAAATAGCTAATGTTATCACAATCATATGCAAGATTGTAAAGACTATTAATCAGTGCCTTTTCTTGGAGTAAAGAGAAGCATGGATATCTGCTCATAACTCCACAGTTCTCTGCTTAAAAACTTGTTTCTACTTTTTTTTAAGACAGTAAAATATTACTATGAATGTACCAATGTTTCTAAGGCCTTTTCAATTAATTACACCTTTAAATAAGCTTAAAGTCATGCAACACCACTACAAACTCCTATTCTTTGTTGCAAATCATTGTAATAGACTTTAAGTTGCCATGAAAAGAAAGTTTTCCTCAGATCTTGCAATATAATTGCTACTTAACAATGAAAACAAGACATGCTGCTGAAACATCTTATCAACTTTCTGCAACTTCTGACCTCATATACTTCCAAAACAATAACTTGCACAGTGATCCTCTCCAAGGGGAGGAAGCTGACATAAAGCAAAAATACCAGAACCCTCTCAGTGCAGGGCATCTCAGAGAAAACTTGTTTCAATGACCACATTTTGGGAAACACTGATGTGGAAATCCTCCAGGTCTTGAGAACTTAGTACTAAGACAGGAAAGACAGCCCTTGTTAGTGCAACAAGGAGAGGCAATCTGCACAACTACCAACTGAAACAAGGATATAAAGGCAAGCTAAGAGTTTTATTGGTATAATTATCCCTAGGTCTCCTAAACATATTGGTGAAGGGTGCTACAGAAAAAAATGTTTTTCTCCACCCTGAGACTACTTCTTACATCTGGTACATCTGGTGGGCACCTTCTAACAGAATCCCCAATTAGCTCTGCATCCTGGTATTCACACTCTTGAATAGTCTTGTATAGTTCCCTCTCACACTGTACCAGAGTCGGTCTGTGTGACCAATGGAATACAGCAGAAATGACAGTATGTCACTCCCAAGATAAGGTTATACAAAACTGTGGATTCCATCTTGGTCACTCACTCTCTCTCAAATCGTTTACTCTGGAGAAACCTAGCTATCATGTTGTGAGCAGCCTAATTCTGAGAACCTCATGGTGAGGAACTGAAGCTTCCTGCCAATAACCATGTGAGTGATTTGGAAGCAGAATCTCCAATCCAAATCAAGTTTTCAGATGACTGCAGCCCTGGCCAATATCTTGCCTGCAAACTCCAGGAAAGACCCAAGTCAGAACCACTCAGCTAAGACTCTGATTCTTGACCCTTGGAACTGTGTGAGATAATTTTTTTTTTAATTACTAAATTTAGAGGTTACACAGAAAGAGATAATACAGGACTTCTGCTCTATCCTCCCTCCACCCTCCCATGAGAAGGGACTACTATCCACTTTTTCATTTCAATATCACCAAGTCAGAATTAAAGATCTTCACTGGACCATGTTTTTTTACTGAGGTGGTGAAGTCACTACATTAAAAAGACAATTCATGCCAACCCCTCGCTGTCTTAGCTAACAGGCAATAAACTACTTTGAACATCCACATTCCCAGCAATAGACAGAGTAGGGACAGCATTTTGGGAGTTAATGAGTACTTACCAAGTCCACTACTAAAATTAATAATTTACTGATTTACTAATAAGACTAACAGGGCCGGCCCCATGGCTCACTTGGGAGAGTGCGGCGCTGGTAGTGCCAAGTCCGCAGGTTCGGATCCTATATAGAGATGGCCGGTGTGCTCACTGGCTGAGCGTGGTGCTGACCACACTGTGCCGAGGGTTGCGATCCCCTTGCCGGTCAAAAAAAAAAAAAAGACTAATAAAAAAAAAAGGATACAGAGAGTGGAAGGTCAAACAATGTATCTGTTTGGCAGGTTCTCAAAAACAAGGAATTCCCTTGTTCAGGAATAAACTAGACAGGGCTGGTTTGTTTGATTTTTTTGTCCTTTTTGTGACCGGTAAGGGGATCGCAACCCTTGGCTTGGTGTCACCTGCACCACGCCCAGCCAGTGAGCGCACCGGCCATCCCTATATAGGATCCGAACCCGCGGCGGGAGCGCAGCTGCGCTCCCAGTGCCGCACTCTCCTGAGTGCGCCACGGGGTCGGCCCAGAGAGGGCTGTTTTGAAGTAAGTGATCAGGCCCTGCAAGGGTCCTCTGGCTCTTCTAAGAAACTAGTTCTAAGGTAACCTGAATGTGAACATAGAACACCTATATATATAAATAAATAAGGACCTAAAGAGTTTAATGTAAAGATAAATAAAAATTCATATTCATTTGTAGATCTCTATAACCTTTTAGAGGTTATACAATCAAAAGAAAGCTATAATTACACAAGGAGGCACTCACCTTTTACTTTTTTTTTTTTGGGTGGCTGGCCAGTATGGGAACATCTTTTAACTTTGAAGACAAAGTGTTAACAAAAGTCGATGAGAAACACTAGCTTTAGGAAAGAACACCAGCAAAAGCAATGACACCACCAGCTTATAAAACCATCACAGCAATACTGGCCTGCTTTCCCAGACTGTAGTGAAAATGGCAGCTCCAGACTGATATAAATACAAAATGGAAAATAACTGCAGAAGGTTAACTACTGTAACTAAAGCAGCAGGAATACCCAGAAACCATGGGGGGAAGGAGAGGAGAGTACATGAGATATTAGAGTTCCAATGGTTCATAGCCAAATCTAACCCTTGTCTGTCCCTAAGTTGGTGAGGTATGAGAAAATTAATAACAAATATATTACAAATGTACCACTGTCTTCTGAATCTAAGATGCACCATTATTTCCCATAACACTAGAAAAGAAAAATTGCTGCCTATTGAAAACTGTAACACCAATAACACATATCCTGATTTGAAAGATGTTAAAATATGAAAATTGTACATTTTAAAGTCTTTGAAATATGTTATTATAGTTTAATTTTCCTAACCCCTAGTGTACCAGAACTAATTGAAAAATAAAACTTCATCGAGTAAGTTTTAAATAAACTTAATATGACTAAAATGATTCTTATCTCAGTATTTAATACCTACCTCCCCAATACATGACCTCAGTCAATCTTTTTTTTTTTTTTTGGTCCTTTTTGAGATCGGCCACACCGCGCTCAGCCAGTGAGCACTGTGAGCACACCAGTCATCCCTATACAGGATCCGAACCCACAGCGGGAGCACTGCTGCGCTCCCAGCGCCGCTGTGCTCCCAGCGCCGCACTCTCCTGAGTGCGCCACGGCTCAGCCCTCAGTCAATCTTTAAATATGAACTTGATTCCCAGAATTTGCATAGCAATTGCTATGGTCTGAATGTCTGTCCCTCCAAAGCTGATATGGAAGCCTGATCTCCAATGTGGCAGTGTTGAGAGGTGGGGCCTTTGGGAGACGACTGTATCATGAGGGCTATGCCCTCTTTAAACCACTCATGGATTAACGGGTTAATGGATGAGTAGGTTATCACAGGAGGAGCATGGTGGCTTTATAAAGAGAACAAGTGAGCGCATTAACACATGCTCTTCCCCTTTTGCCACGTGATATCCTCTGCTGCCTCAGGACTCTGTATTGAGTCCCCCACCAGGAAGAAGGCTCTCATCAGATGTGCCCCTTTACCTTGGACTTACCAGCGTCCAAAACTGTAACAAATAAATTTCATTTTCTTATAAATTACCCAGTTCCAGGTATTCTAAGTGACAGAAAATGAATAATACAGTAATATAGAGACATCCACTCTCCCAATCAAAAAAGGGGCCTAAAAGTTATCTATGAAAAATTTATTTTCTTATTATTATTATTTTTTTTTCCTTTTTGTCTTTTTTTCATGACCGGCAACGGATCGCAACCCTCAGTGTCGCGCCCGTACCGGACCGGGACCGGCTACAGGATCGCAACCCTCGGTGTTGCGCCCGCACCTCCCTCAGCCAGTGAGCGGCCGGTCTGTATGTGGGATCCGAACCCTCGGTGGGAGCGCTGCCGCGCTTCCCAAGCGGCGCACTGCAGCAGTGTGCCACCAGGCCGGCCCCTGAAAAATTTATTTTCTTTTTCTCAGTCATCCATCGAAAACAGCCAAGCCCAAAAGGTAAATGTTTTGAAGCATATCAAATCTCAAGTAAACCTGAAAACTCTAGCCCTTATCTTGTGTTGGCTTAAGTCTAGAAAGCTCACAGGAATTTGAGCTCTTCTAAGAGACCTAGGTGGATTTACACGTTCCCTAAGGATCCTGATACATGTAAATATCGCTAGAGATATATGACTAAGCACTTTTAGAACTGGCTTGGCTTTTGAGTGGC